CACACACACACACACACACACACACACACACACACACACACACACACACACACTGTGGTCTGATTGTATCTCACTGACTCTTAAAATAATAACAAACACACACAGCATGAGGAATCTTCCCCATGCTGTTCTCCAGAGCCGGACGATGGAAATTCATAGCCAACAGAAAGAAACACAAAACTACCTCCTCACTGAGCTCCAAATCAACCTGAGGGTGAAATGTAGACTAAGGGTCTGCCTGACTAAAAACTTGCTGCAGTGAGGACTCACTGGAGGATGCGGCCTTGTGAGTCATTCTGAGAGAACACAGGCTACAGCCCTGGTGTCAGTGTGTCCCTGAAAATGCAGCTCTGTCCCACTCAGAGTATTTCTTCAAACACATCACCCAGGGTGAGTCACTCCTCAGGAGGCATCCCTCCCTGACAGGTTGAAAATGGGATTTAAGCGGGAAGCTTGACTAATACAGCTCTCTCCAAGTTTAGAACGCTGACCTATCAATAAATGTGAATGTGGGTTGTACATTGATTTATAAATGGCGTAAAAATTGTACGCAGACATATTCTATGCGGGAGTATACTGGAGAAGAATTTGAGCTGCTGAACAGCTGTTCAAATCCTATTTAAGAATCAGTTTCGCTCAAAGCAAGGACTACGGAGTCATTGCAATTTCAGGTTGTGCATCCAGAACTCATTGTTCAAACCCACATTACCGTGTTTTTAATTGAAGAGTTTTCAAAAATGCAGAATTTGTCAGACTGGATATGAGGGAAAATGTTACAACAGAAATGCTTAAAGTACTTCAGTTTGATGAAGAAGTGGAGCCATAAATGAATAAATACAGGAATATTCCAAAAATTGAAACATCACATAGCTTCAATAGAGAGTATATCTAACGATGTAGTATATTATAGTATATCTAACAATATAGTTTAGATGGAATACGATCTCAAAGCCACTTCAGGTTAAACCAAGGGAGACTACTGTATTTTAAGGGGTCATTTTAATTATGGCTTATTGATGACCTGCAAATAAAGCCGTGAATTCATCAGTAACATCACTACTGGGTGTTCCTCTTCCATTTTAACTCCTGACACATTTGCTACATCAATTAACAGGCTATACATTGGGAAGCACCATTTTAGTTTGATGATAATCTTTCTCAGCACATCACTACACTTAAATCGAAACATTACACAACGTGCCACCATTGTGACTGATACTCTAATACAACTCTCTGTAAAAGTAGAACTTCTGATTACTTAAGGTTGCTTAAAGAGTTGGGTATTATATAAATATAATGTAGTTTGTCATTTACTAAAAGATCAGTACTAAATTTCATATTGTCTCATAACACGAGACCACAAATCTGAAGAGAGTGCTTGGTGCAACAGACACATTATAGTTGGTAATCAATAGAAGCATAGATTCAGTAGAGAGCATGTGTTGCATATGGGCATTGTTATTTTCACCTAAGATCAAATTTTGAATTAGGTTTGGTTTAGTTTTTAAGGACTCTGGTTCGTACAGAATTCTTGAATGAACGAGGATAATATGAGTAAATCACTTATGTGGGAATATAGTCGCAGGATGGATCAAAATGTTTAATATGATATATCCAACGTGAGCCTTTAAAATACAATCTACCTGCTAATATCACAAACGTCTGTATGTCTGCCTGTATGTGGAATCATTCATCTTATCGGCTTCTCACTTGGCATGTGTATTTTTAATACACCAATTTGGTGCCATTTGGACAAACAGTACATTCAATATAAGTAAACTTTGGATAAACAGGCGACCAGAGCTCTGTAGCAGGGGCAGTGTGCTAACAGTGTCTTCTTTTTACGTCATTGGATAAAGTACAGCAGTGGTCGTCAACTAAGCCCTTTTGAAAAGATGTGAACTTGGGTCTTGTTGATCGCTTAACAGACCTCTGAAGTAACCAACATGCAAGTTTCCTTATATGAAAAACAATCACTATAGTCAATCGCAATAGTCATTGCAGATAAACCAGGATGGACGTCAAGTAACTTCACTCAACACCAAGATTATATGAAAGCTCTGCACACAACGTTCAGCAAATAAACAATAAAAAGTGAAAGTATCTTATAGAACTGTTTGATGAGGGATCACTAATAATGATAAATCATTTTGATGTTGCTCCGGAGCATTAACACAGGACAAGCAAACCAATCCAAACAGGCAGGTAAAGAAAGGGCTCTGCATTAATGATAAAGCATCTTTCACAAAAGACAATTTTGCAATATCACAGTAGGAAAAGCACATATGCAAAACAACAGAAATGACCGAATTCCATTTAGCTGCTTCAGTCTTGCTGTGCTGGTGTTTTTAATACTCCGTCACACTGTCATGGCCTCCTAGGACACAGGAGCTGATCAAAGCCATCATTATTCTAACTGGGAACATCTGTTCTTATTATGACGAGTCAAAATGTCTGCTTTGAAAGAGGTCTACTTAAAGATTCCTACATGTGTGTGATTAAACCTCTGCTCAGGTACAAAGTTGGGGGATCCAAGTTGAAGATGTGCTGAAATGAAAACTATGTGCTCATAAAAAGGATATTGAGGGAAGTAATCTGTTGCTGGAAGAAAACTCAGAAGTCAGGGAGAAGCAGTTTGTTCACACCAGCACATCCTTGAGAGGAGGTCTAATCAGGTGACGTTCCCCCTTTAAAGGGATAGTCCCTCTTTTTCCAAAATGCGTTCAGTGGATTCCTACAGTGACACTTCACACTGCTTTGATCAGACAGTTTGATCGCTTCAGTCTGGACTGTGGGGACATGTCGGTCACACAGGACTAAAGATTGGAGTGAACCTGCTTTGAAACATAACAGTAATGTGTGATTGAAGTTCTCTTCAGTATCACAGCACCTTCTATCTGCATGTTTAGAGTGCAGACTATGTTTAGTTTTTAAAATAAACTGTGCAGTCAAAATTGATTTCCCGATCTTCCTACACACCTCCCTTAACTTTGGGGTGTAGCAGCAGAACAGGATTTTCAGCTCCCTCACTCTATCCCTTCATCCACGGCTCAAAAACTCCCAAACTTCAGTACCAACACCAAACATTTACAGCTTGTCTGATTCTGTCAAGTGGTGCAATTTGTTTTGGCAATGAAGTGCATGGTAAAAAAAATAAACCAAAACTGAATTTCTGCTTGTTGCAATTCATGTCAGGATTTATGCATCCTATTTCAGGAATGTTGTGGGTTCAGATTTAAACAACACCTGCACTGAAAGCACTGGAAGATCTCAAAGTGGATTTGTAAAGACACTGCAGGCTCATATGACTGTATTACAGAACCACTGGGTTAGTGTGACCACAAAATGATTTACCTGTTCATAAACAAACATGCTCATCGGATCGTTAACAGCGGTTTTTGGACCACTGAGCATCTCAGCACCTCCGAGCGACAGAGACTTGAAGGTAACCCCCTCTTATGGCAAAATCACGTCAGCACAAATCACGTTACATAACAGTTCTGCTCCAAGTTTAATCATTTCGAGTCGGTGCATGCGCTGCCAAGGCCGCGCACGGACGCTTGGCGCACATGACTGAGCATGCAGGCCACACAGGGACCGCACTGGCGGAATGTGCAGGTGTCATCGCTCGCTATTGGATTACTGTGGGAATTCCCTACGTCATCGTCTTAATGCATCTCCTTCATAAGGCGCATACATGATGAATCAAAACAGGGAAAAAACTGCGATCACTCGTCCCCTTCGATACAAAAACTACAAGACAGCCACCACACGATGCGCATTGGACGACGCAGCGCTTGTTTAATGACAAAAACCCGCTGGTTTTTTGAGAACGATCATGAGAATCCTCATCGGCGTCAGTGCTGGAAGCCATGAACACCTCCACGCTCCCCGCACCCCCTGGGTGGCACGGCTTACCTTTGGCGCAGAGCTGCGGGACGGAGGCAAACGGTGAAGCCCGCTGGTGATGACAGCGCTGCCACCGAAACACCTGCTCCGTGGTTGGTGCGCGGGGATATCACGGTTCAGGTCCTTATCCCTGCAGTCCAAATGAGGCGAGACGGGCGGGGTGCCGCGCTATGGCCCCCTCCTCCTCCTCCTCCTCCTCCTCTTCGTTCTCTCCCTCCCTCTCAGATCCGGAGCAGCTTTGGGCTCGGAGTCACGTATCGAGACGGTATCCCTGTGAAAAGCTGCTGCGCTGCAGAGACACCACGGCCCAGCTCGGCAGCAGCGTGCAGAGGTGTGTGCATCAACTCCGGCAGCACCTCCCCGCGCTCCCCCCGCACAGAGCTCTGCTGCTGCTGCTGCTGCTGCTGCTGTGGGCTGCAGGCGTGAGTCTCACAACATGCATCGCATCCCTCTGCATCGCGCTGCAGTCAGTCAGTCAGTGCCGACGTCCTCCCACCAGTCCCGGCAGATGCACGGAATCTGACTGGGCAGAGCATGCACCCACTGTCAGGCTCAAAGAAAAAAAAAAAAAAACGTCCTTTACTGGAGGATGGCGTAATGTGGTGTTGCTTATTTGCAGAGAAGTGAGTCTCCCTGCTGGAGGGGGGGGGGGGCTCAGAGGGATTTAGTCACACAGCATCCAGAGCAGTGAGTGGGTTGATAACATACATACACGCTGCATATTAATGTGGGAAAACGCCAGAGTGGGAAGGGGATTCAAGACACGTCCCACGGAGACAGAGAGAAACTGCACTGAATGCATTCAACCTGTGGAACAATGCATCATCCGACGAGAGCTGCGCACACACGCATGTCCTTCACTTCACGTGGTTATCTAATAGATGCTGTAGTATTTTTTAGAACTGTCCAGTTTCAAGTGCAAAATGACATTATACTATATGAATGGCAGCCATAGCTACTGGTTTGCACATCAACATATATGACTAATATAATAGTGTTCCATATTTAACCCCTTAACTACAGTCAAATCTTGCTTATACGTTGATGCATCTATAATAACTATAACTATGAACCGATCCCATATACACATCACTCTGAAAGGGTCCATCCTGCAAAGATGTCATTTCTTTTAAAATGGGTAAATTGCTGAATGCAGGAGTGTCCACATGTCACCGATCCAGCATGAATGACTGTAGTTTTCAGTCAAGGCCTATCAGACAAATCAGCCAGGGCCCCTGCTTCTAAAGCACCACCAGCTGCACCTGTATGAACCCTGCGGGGTCCTGTGGAAACACATTCATTCACTTGTGTTGTCACTTCACTTTCATCTGTCGCAGAACGCGGACTCAGTCAGGTGTTGCAGGGAGACGAGGCCCCCCAGTGGCCGCCAGCAGATCTGCAGCCGCACTCCAAACTTCATCCCAACGGCCAAGAGGTACTTTATCTGAAAGTTTTCTGTTCAGTAAAAATGAAACAGCATACGACATGGTGGTACCAGCCTTATAAAAGTGAAATATAACTGGTTATGGATGCTGTGGTCGGGTTAGGTTTAAGACAACAACTAATACAATTCTACCAAGCACTGTGTGAAAAGATATTTAAATTGCGAAAAACAAAAAAACGTCTAAAAAGGTAGTAAATGTGCTATTAAACAATATATGAAAGTCCATAAACATTTATCATTAATCAAATACTTAAAAATACAACTATGCACTTACATTAAATTGACCAATTTCAGGTGCAAGAGTCATCGTGTAAAAGGTTTATTATTACATTTGAATTTGGTATTAATGTCTTCAGTCATAATTGTTATAAAGGATCCTGATTGGACAAAACAAGTGTAAGATCATTTCTGGGCCAATGCCAATAGATTTTTTTTTTCCTTTAGAACATCTTTATTTGTTATATGTTACTTTGATGACATCGTGTAATTATTTTAACCTGCCCAGAGGTCTCATTACCTAAGTGCATTAAGGCATATGATTTCATATTCATACCCATAACATGTATATAAGAATGAAAATCAACAATTATTTTCTCAGTTTTATTGTAGCAACAACAGTGCCAAAAAATTGCACAGTTTGCCCATTTACAATAAAATCAGATAAAAATGTAAAATACAAAAACATCAAAGCAATCTGTTTTGACACAATGCTTCAACCTGAGGATTAAATACTCTTCCACACTAGAGCTCCACCAAAAAATAGAAATGAAAACAGTCCCTTGGCTGTGATTTGGGGCCTACATTATACTTTTTGCATCCAACTACCTAGACCAGTATATTAGCATATACCAGAGGACTAAGTGTTCTGCACAACAAAGACCAGCTAGCCAGAGGTTACATGTTTTAAAGTCACTCAAGGCAGAGGCAAAGTAAAGGAAATTGAAAGAGTTACCAGATTTTAAAGCACTTACAGACAGAAGTAACATTTAGTATGATGATAACTTCATATTAACAGATACATCGCTGACATGTTCTGCATTATTTAAAGTAAATGACAGTGAACATTTAGGCAGTTTTCAACAAACTTGGTTATTAAATGTATTGATAGAGTCCAGTGCTTGTCATACTACATCTGCACCTTAACTTAATGCAGGGACATCATGTAATCATGATTATGAGTGGATGATTCAGCTTTGGAATCAACATTTTAAATGAAAAAAAAAGGAAAGTCTGGTCAAAAACTTGATTCTAGAAATGTGTTTGTTCAATCAAGCAAATAAGAGTCCAATATTTGTTCTTATAATTGATTATTATTTTAAAAAGCTGTTTTCACCAACTATCAGAAAAGCATCGTAACAAGACAGTAATAATTAAATTCTTTTTGTAAAAAATCTTTTACTGACTGAATTTAAGATGAGACCAATATTTTGCTTGTTAAAATATATAACTTAGTCAGTTTAACACTGTAAAAGTAATGTTATAAAGAAAAAGGTTATGACTTTCATAAATTATTACACGTTTGTTAAACTTGATTTGTTGTAGAGCTGGAGGCATTTTAATAGAGATATATGACAATAATTTTAAAGCAGAGAAATGTATCACAGCTGTGCTACAACACTTGGCTATAAATATATTGGCTTTAAAATGGCAGTATCTAAAGTTGAGTGTTAGTGAAAAGGAGAATTCCTACTTTAAAATGCAACACATTCCAATTCCATCTTAGACAAGAGTTGGTGAGAAAATGAAAACCCCTAAGTGTACGTCTGAACATCTGAAACGACACTATCACAGTGAACACCGATATAAATCACAATTAAGAAACATAATTCTCGTCGCTAGTATTTTGTTCTACAAAGTAGCATATGCCACCAATTCACAATGAGGCTGACGATGTGCATCTCAAAGCACTAAAACTGCACCAAACAGACAAGCTGATCACTTACACCACTAGTATCGTATAAATTCAAAGACACAGAGACATTCAGTGCAGGTACATTCACAGTGGGAACAACTGTGGTGTCTTTAAAAAGCATGTTGATGTATGATTGTACACTTTGCCTGGAGGTCAACCTTAACTGGTCCCTAATGAACCTGTCATTCATATCTAGTAAATATAAACTCATACATATCTCAAACAAATCATATTGAGGGGTGTTCTGGTGAGTCAACACATTCACACAGAAACAGTGAAGTACAATGACATTCACTGTAGGCCTTTGTATCATTTAGGCAGTACACTGAAAGGTTAGAAACTGACAGGCAGGTATGAAACAGATGCAGACATGAGGATGCAGACATGAGGATGCAGACATGAGGATGCAGACATGAGGATGCAGACATGAGGAAGCAGAAAGGCACAGCAGCTGCTTCACTGAGGTGAGACAATGCACGAATAATAAGACACGAGAGGTATAAAATAAATTAAAAGTTAACTCTGAGATGAGACCAAAAAAGTCAATAACTCCATCATAGTTATGTTTTCACTTCCGTCTGTTTGTTCGTCAACAAATAATACAAACTGGAGGGATTACCACAAAACTGATATCTATGAGTACGTGCAATTTGGTGCAGCTTGATTGCATTTAAGGGGAGATATGTGCTATACTAAGGGCCATACTATTTTTTCCTCTGTAATTAAATGTCACAGAATGATGAGTTGTCATAACACCTACTTATGACTCTCTGGTCTGTTACAATACATTACACAGACTTAAGAAACTGATTTTATCAACTTTAATGGCAAATTAGCGTCATTCTGACTGTAAATTAACTGGGTTAAAAAGTCATTGGCAAATAAAAACTGAATACAAAGAGCAAAAGAAATGTCCTATTGGCCTATTTGCCATTTGAACACACCACACTCCACCCAAAAATCAGCATGATGGTATGAAACACTTGCAGACAACTTAAATCCCAAAAATGTTGGCAGTTTCAAATATCACCTCATCCTCTTAAGTGTATCAAAAATCCGTGTGTTCTTTATACACAAGAAATAAAAACATTCAAATGGTCACAAGAGTTTCCTGTTGTGTTAACTTAAAGATGAGCTATACTGTCTAATGTGTGACTGGCATCAGTTTGCAAAATGCCACACAGACAGAGCAGCAGTTTTGTGACGGATTAAGTTGGTAGACTCCCTGGTAATAAATATTCACCTGTGCACCAGCCATTAGCTAAGCACACAAGGTTACACAAGCTGTAAACATGAAACACAAAATCCATTATTATCCTGTAGCAAACTTCCCTTATGCTATAAAGGTTCGTAATTCCCTTTAATTGAAGCGCCTAATCTTCCACTGAACATAAATACAAGGGTTGGAGAAAGTAGATAAGTAGTGCTTTCTAATCATCATCAACATCATACACCTTCTGCACTGTATAAAAATACCAACAAGCACAGGTAATAATAGGAGGCTATCTTGAGCTGTAGTTAAAACATGGCTTGACCATAACATAAAAAAACAAATAAATATTTAAGAATTGTCTCATTCCAATAGACTACTTTGTCTGTTGAGTACAATTATGTCACCAAAACCTCATCAACTTTTAGGCCCCGTACACATCTGGTATTAACATGTGTTATTTGTGATCACATCACAAGTGGACAGCTCCGAGTGCTTGTGTTCACACCTGGCATGAAAATGTGGCCCAACATGAGTCTCTTGACCGGATCCCACCTCTCTGCTCTATACAAACAAACGACTGTGTCAGCACGGGCTTGAGATTTGACCAATTTAAAGGAAGTATTGATGATTATGTGATGATGTGTTTATATTGTGGCGGTGGTTAAAAACAAATCAACGAGAAGAGATAAAATGTGTTAAAATCATAGTGAAACTGCAGCAGGTCGGAGGACACCTGATATGGAGGTCCGTCATATGTGGCCCAGGATGGATTTGCCTTCACACTGCTGAAAGAATGTGGACACGTGGCCCAGACCGCCTCCTAATGTGGCCTGGCTTGATCGGATCTACATCCGATCTGAGTGCGTTCACACCTGAACTTAGAGCTGTCCGCTTGAAATTAGATCAGATCACAAAAACCACATGTTGATACCAGATGTGTACGAGGCCGTCGGGTAATAACAGTAAACTGTCCACACATAACTGCCACAGTGGCACAGACTGGGGGAGGTGTGTGACATGGGAGACTTCTGCATCAAATGTTACAGTGGTGCCTAAGTCCTCACCACCCTCTGAACTTCTGAATCGTTTTTAAAAGAAGCGAGATGATAGTATCTGTTTCAGAGCAGCAGATTGGGTGTGAGCATGACATGAGTGTGTGTACTGAGAAAAGTAGCGCTGTGAAATGATGTGCACGCACAATAACGTGAGGAATTTAGATCATTGACGTTCTTGGCTGAATTCTTTCAGATAGGAAAATGTCAGTATTAGTTTTTTGTCTATAAAAATCTATCAGGTACTTCTTTAAGATGAGTATTTAAAAGTAAATGGAAGTGGGAGTGACGATAGTGAACTACAACTAAAGCTGCTTTCAGACATGCACTGAACTTGGAGAATCTCCAGACATTCTCCAGAGGGGCTGTATGTGCGAACACAAATGTCCAATTGACAGCCTCTAGACTTTCTCCGAGCCGGACTCTGGTAAAAACTCTGGAGAATGTTCGAATGAGCCAAAGTGAGAAAACAGCAGATCCTCTGCAGGATCCATTGCGAGCACGTGGGTGTGTTGATGACATCTCTAACACAACACACACGGAAAAGAAAAGCAATATATCAGGATAAAAAAGCGGTGCCATACACGTAGAAGAAGATATCAAGAGAGCTTTCGTGATAAGGGTCGACGCCAGTGTCGATGTAGTGAAAACGAAACATGTCCGCAGAGGAATTCAAACTTTACGTCCTGCCTCTGCTGCACCACCCTTCACCTGACTGCTCTGGAGATTTCTCTGTAGTTGTGAACGCATCTGAGTGGAGAACCTCCTGTCGTGTTGTTCATGTATGAAAGGCAAACTCCGGAGAAAGTTCGGACTCAATTGTGCGGACATTCTTCGGAGTTGACTGCTCTCAGCCAGAGCAGCCTTATGAAAATGAGCTACACCTCTATGTTGTAAAGAACATGGAGCAGATCACGATTTCTTCTGAAAAATAGGAGACACACTGGAACCTACACAGGTACATCTCCGGTGCAAATCTAAATTTTTGTGTATCAAAAATGATTATAGGGAATTGTAAACATGATTACTTTGGGCTTTCCTTGTGGAATGAAAGTTAGGGCACCACCACTTGTTTTGTGACAGTGCTGCGACAGTCAGTGGGTTCCAGCTAAACACAACTGTCCTTGCTAAGCAGGAGGCAGTGTGAGAGTTCACAGCATGGCAACTACCGTGACAGAAGCCACTTCAGACACGAGAAACAAGAAAAACAAAACAGCTCATTTTACACTAACACCCTGTTTGAGAGTCTCTAGTATAAGTAGCTTCACTGGTTGTGGAGTTCTTGCTCCTTGAAGGCAGAGCTATAGATATACAGAGTAAGGCAAACTTGGTTTCAGGTCATTCTAATGGAGCCATATTTGCACCAAATGTTCCAAGGCCTTTACATCACCTCATTTTAAAAATACAGAGTAAATGCCATAGAACTTTTCATGCTAACATTGAGCAGGCAGTTCCCCAAGCTATATATGTCTATAGTTCTGCTCCATGGCAGCTTGACACATCAGCCTCAACCAGCCGCAGAGAGTCAGGCTGTAACTTAGAGGAAGGCTTGTAATGGTAGAGACGAAGACTGAAACCAGCCAGATACCGTCAGAGCAGGCAACAAAACGCCAGAGGGACGAGTGTCAGCAACAGGAAGTAGGTGACTCTGTAGAGGTGAAGTGGAGAGAAGGTCACCATTGTGATGGCCAAGGGCAGAGGGAGGCAGGAAGCCAGAGGCAGTAGTTTACTGAAAAGATCAAGATCAAGTTAACATTCAATTGTTACAGGACGAGAAAGACAATAAGGAATGTTTGTGTTGTTGATGGTGTGATCCTACCTGTTGTAAAGTTTCAACGTGTTGCAGTTAATAAGCAGCATGTAAACAGTAACTAGAGGCACAATGTGTGGCCAACAAGGGTCAGGGTCCAACTGGGTGGTATATCTATGGAGAATCACAATGTAGTTTAAACAGATGATATACATTTCTAGTGCCATTCACCTTCTATACGACCTCACTACCCCATGCACTTGACTTGGTTTTCAGCTTTTTTTTTTACAAATGAATCAGAGGTGAAGTTTAGCAACACATCCGCACCCTTGCTGCAACATAAGATTTGACAGCAGTATTTGTTAACAATTAAAGAATCCATTTATAAGGCTACATACATAAAATGTGGGATTATCTGGAAATTGCAGATTACTTGATGTAGGTCCAGGGTCCAAACGAATCCAAGAAATCTGGTAAACTAGAGACCACTGTGGTAGTTTTGCTTTAGTACTGTGCATAATAAGCATTTATAAATAAATATGTGGTGCCACTAAGCTTTGTTGGGGTTTAAAAGACAGACTTTGGTGTCTTACATGAAGATACTTCAGCAGTGCAGGTTCTCTTAATGGTCTCTTATATACTTCATTCATGTTATGCTAATACAGTACCTCAGGTTGCGGATCCAGTGGATGAGTGATGGTGTACTGAGCATGACAGGTAGCGTGAAGAGTGCTGATAGGCAGAGGTGGAGCTGTAGATCATCCCTCACCTCCTCCAGTGCACACTCAGACAGCAGGGGGGTGCCGTTACATTCTTTCGACCTGCTCAAGCACTCAACGTTGACTGTGCCGTTCTCAGCTTCTTTGTGCTTCTGGGGCGCCTGGATTGCGACATTGTGGGAGAATCAAAAGACTTTCCCATTTAATACCACAGGGATACAATTGCATTATATGTGTATTCAGTATAATCTTCTGCAAGCTTTTGAACCCGAGCTCTGCATTCACACCATAAGCATCCTCAATACCAACATTAGGTGATATAACTGGTGCTGGTTCATCAAGTGGTGTGATTAGACCAAACAGTACAAGTTAAAAATCTTACCAGATTCAGCATGTGACTCAAAGACCTCTCTGTCATTTGTAGCCGTAGCACCTGAGCATGCAAAGTAAAAAAGAACAAGCAACATAATCTGTAAATATTGTCTGCTTGCAGTATTTGCATGTGCAGTCCCAGTTCATCAAAATCAAATCAAAAAGCCAACACTGGTATTAAAACAACTATTGCTCACAGGTCAGGGGCTCTCCTCTCATTTCACCACATCTTAAAACTCACCCTATAAAGGTGAAGCAAAAAAGCAGCAAAGACTGAAAACGCTCCACAGGAAATCCCGCCGATAACTGTCAGACAGAGGGCGATGAGGAGCTGGGTCCGCAGTCGCAGGGTGCCACAGTCTCTAGAGACAGATGGTCTGCAGGAAAAGAGAAAATGAAAAAAGAGGAGGGATGCCATTAAAGGACAGATGTGCTAACATATTATTCAGCCTAAAGACCACTCAATTACAGTTACAAATCACATACTCAACTGTTCAACTGTCCAGACATACCTGTGTAGTGGCGCCAATATTAATGAGATCAGCCGCATAATTAGACGGAGCAGTGTGCTCCCCCAGTATGCCACAGCTGCCCCCAAAATGTACAGCAGAGGGGACAGGAGGTGGGGCCATTCTTCAACTAGTATCTCGCCATTATGAAACATTGCATCAGGAAAAGATGCAGGCAGAACATCCATGGGGGGGAGGCATAAAATGGACCAGAACTCTTGAAAGCGGCTACAGCTGAGGCAGTGGAGGGAAGAGGAGGATTAGCAAGAAAACATGAAAATATTCAGCTTTTATACTTTTATAACATCCCTTTTAAAGACAGAGGGTTGTGGGCTAGATTGGAATCCTTGGAAAAAACCTGGTAACGCTGTCAATGTCTGTTTCCAAGGTGAGGAATAGACTTTAACACTCTTCCAAAGCCTACCTAAGTAAGATGTGCAGAACATAAACGGGCAGGTTGACTTTATGAGGCTGCAGGCCTTTGCCCACCACCTGGCTCATGTCTGCAGCTCGCCTCGACTTCAGGATGGTTGACAGCTGCCCCCCACAGGCCAGCAGCAGAGTTACAGCTGTGTAAACTGGTACCATAGGACCACAGAACCTCAGGATCTGTCAGATAAAAGACACCAGATCAGAATCACTATTTATTCATGACAAATAACTATTGTATGTATGGTTGCCATTTTTGTTTAAAGATGGTTTAACATGATTTATCATCAGATGCCTGGTCTGTTACCCAATCAAACAGAACAAAGACACTTAGTGTGCAATGTACTACCTGCCCAAGCACCCTGGGTAATGAAGTCCTTATTGAAACCTGAATCAGAAGGAAAAAATAATTTAAAAAAAGGTTTTACATGATAAATTGTCATCAGGATGTGTGAAAGAGAGACTGCAGTTTTCTTACTGCAGATATGAGTAGTACCTTGTACTGGCAGTTGGGGGCAGTGTGAAGCTGAAGGAGGACACCTGATGTGTTGTCTAGGCGACTTGTGTGGAGCATCCCTGAGATCTCAGTAACTGACGGCACACTGGTGAACAGATCACATCAAGTCATAATGGGAATAAGTGTGTCACATAGGAGATGCCTGGAGAATGACACTAACTTAACTAACCTGACTGTGGTTAAAGAGTCCTCTCGAAACCATGGCACCATTATTCTGTACACATTGGGCAATCTATCTACAGAACAAATACAGTAATTATGTCACATTTCAGCTCCTGCATTAGAAAAAGTACCTCCATATATATTAAATCAGACTTACCTTTATGTACTTTGCATTGGCTTGCAACATTAATTCTGAATGCCTGATAGACCTAAAGACACAGAGGTGTTCAACATGTGGTGACACAGTAGGAACAGGGATACTGAGGCTGCATTAAGTAATGAAAGCTACCTGGTGAAAGTGATGAAGCTTGATGGTGTGTAGAAGTCCAGAAGAGTTGACCGTAATGTCGCTGAAAGTCAAACCTGCAGAACCAACACAAACAACAACAAACACACTGAGCTTGTGTTTCCACATAGAGCTTTGACAATCAGCCTCATCAGTTAATGGGGACATATTATGCCCCTTTTTCACAATTTGACATACTTCCTTAAGGTCTTAATAAAAATCTGTTTATATTTAGGTCAGATAACTCACCGAAGGACAGGACATGTGGTACTGGGACAGACAGAGTCTGAGATTCTTGTCTTTGCCATTCACACTCCACCGTAAACTGAGGAACAGATCAAATTTGTATGGGTAACATCTTCTGTTTCTGCTTCCTGGACCATTAGATGTATTGACTTAGTCTTTTATTCGCTATGAGCAATTCTTTTGAGCTGTTTGAATCTAGATTCAAAGCCTGCTGATGTTAGCATTCAGCTAAAAAAAACTAGCTGGTTAATGTATTAAACGTGTGATTACTGTGATAAACAATGACAGTTGTGACAGGAAAGTAAAAGATGTGGTTGATTATTCACTTTGCAGTATTTCACCTACCAACTACAACCATAGACTCAGTCCACAAGGACACCGCTGTGTGCTGAGCTGCAGAATGAATAATAAGAGATGCTCTGCTGCTTTAACTGTCTACCTGCTACCTTACTGACTGTGCTGAATAACTATAGCTGGCTAGATACGTCACTTACACAGCAAAAGTGTGATAACAGGGGAAAATGATGGGTTCACTGTTCATCAGCAATGTATTACACGTAAGTATCAACTTACGATGAAGACACTGCTCGACTCTGCCCCACTGTGTGCTCAGCTGGGATGTGTACTCTGCTACATGTGCTGCAGACAGGGCTCAGAGTATTGCTGGAGCGCCATCTAATGGACAAACTATTTGATGGCACCATTTCTACACCTATACCAATATACTGCATCTGTGTTAGGTTTGCATTTTGAATGACTGTATCATTCATCCAAGATGGTAGTACCTGTTTGCCATTGAGGTTGGAGGCCGAAACAACTAGATGACTAACTGAAGACAAATCACTGAGACTCAAAATCAGGACCTGAGGACAAGAACACAGAGTTAGGGGCAAACAATGGCAGCTCAGACTAGTCAGGAGGGCGTCTGAAGGATAATTACCTTGTATGGTGGCAGCAGCTCAGTTCCCACAGATAGATCAACAGCATGTAGACTGCAAATTTCAGTACACAAACGAAGCACAACAGAAACGTCTTCAAACATTACCATAAACAGACTTACATTTTCTCTTGAATAAATGCAGAAAAATCAGGATGGGGAAAAAAGATTTTAATTGAAGACATAAGTGGCAAGAAGAGATACTTTTCAATGTTATTCTTACCATGAACCATTCTTGTGCACACAGCCATAAACCCAGCTAGTCATCTCCTGTTGGACAACACTACATCAGAATCACATGTATTTCTTTACTCTTGTGTCTTCATATTTGTTAACAGACGAGAACTAACATGTTCAGTGATACAGGACCAGACATACTGTACCTTTAACTTAAACAACCAGTAATGTCATATTCTATCTGGATTTTCATATAATACACCAATTAGTTTAGTTTCACTGAATGTGTAGCTTTTGGACTTCACTGTACATACAATGGCTTCAGTTTTCACTTTGATTGATTGATTTAATTGGAAATTGATCAAATTAAAATGTTTGACACTAAATAATCCATAATAAAATGAGAACACCTCATGAAGCCACTGTATGCATCCGTCTCTGAGATGTGAGTGATAATTCAGAATACTGAAATCAGCTTAGAGAAATAAAGCATTGCAACGCCTGTAGCTCAAAACCAAAAGGGATGAAAACACAACAGTGGTGAAAACTCACCAGGTTGCTGCTCCGGCAGTAGAAATGGCTGTAGGCTTTCCTGCGACTCGACAGTGCAAACATGAAATATTTCACCTGTCCTTCCTGTAGACAGAGAGCAACACTGCACACTACTGGAAATTGCTGTTCTGTCGGTATCAGGGCATTATATCTTGGATCATTTATCAAAAAACCAGGCCATGTATTGTATTGAAAAAAAATTAATTCTGTAAATTGCAATGGTAAAGCAGTAAATATTACTACATCTGGTACCTTCGGTGTGCTGTAAGCCAGACGCAGTGTGTTCACTTCACTCCACACTTCAGGAAAATCTAGAAACATTGAGACAGAGTGAAAGAACAGGACAATATGTGTTAAGATATTTGATTCTTTACTAATGTAAAACTGCAGTTCACTTTGCTTCATAAAATAAACAAAAACTCCAAATGTTAAAAATACAGTATAACAATTTGAAGCACATGTAAAGATATGGCTCAGTGACTGTCTAAAATGGGGGTGGGCAATCTACGGCCCTCGGGCCACATCATTTAACATAATTTGTTCCTGCCTGATGTTAGGAATGTAAGTTCTGCTAGATGGCACACTGCATATACAACCAACCTTTTCCAATGTAGAGAACAAGAGTCACTCATCTCTTCACCTGACTAGATCTGCATCTTGAATTAAGCAGCAAACCCCAAATTGAGCAGACCAAAGAAGAGAAAAGTCAAGTTCCAGGTTTTAAGAAAATCTGATCAAAGGCCATATGTCTGATATGTCTAGATGGCCTGGCTGTATTCAAAGATAAAACATCAGCCAACACTTTCCCACCGTGTATGCAATCTATCATAGCAACTTGTCATCCCATGAAAGGTCGAGCACAGCTTCAAGGCAGCAGCCAATTTACAAGCTCGACAGTCTGCAATTCAGGTGTCCAGCACAAAGACAAGTTATCTATTGTCAAATAATTTAGCGAAGCGAGCAGGCCTTTCTCTGAAGGCTTTTTTAAGGAATGTATGGTGGAGACAACAAGTCTCTAAAATAAATTTGATAGATAGATACATTTGAAAACATAAACTTATCATGCAGAACAGTGACTGGCCGTATTGAGCAAATGGACAAAGACAAAAAATGTCACTGATGAACACTTGAGCTCTGTCCTGCGAATAGCCACATCAAATATTACACTGGACTTTGATGCACTTGCGAAAAAGGGTGACCAGCAGCACTGTTCCCATTAAAGCAAGCACACAGGGTGAGTTTATTTTCATTACTTTGGGAGAAACTGATTTCAAATGTAATTTATTGTGTTAGTTAATTTTTTCCCTCATAAACTAGTACTAGTGGCCCATCTAAAATCTAATGTGGCCTTTGGGCCAAAAAGTTTGCCCACCCCTGGTCTAAAAGAACCTGAACAAGATGGTGATCTGATTAAATAAATGACTGTATCTGTTTATTCCAGCATCTTGATGGAAGTGTTTCTCTGACCTAAGGTTGAGATGGACGCGTCGTGAGTTTCTCCCACCATCCTGACAGGATGTCTGATGAAGTGATGGTTTAGTACGGCTATTTTCTTCTCCTGATTCTCTGTGAACTAATAAGAACACACTGATTAGTTTGACAACAGATAAGGTGAGATATGAGAGATGTGACATTTCATTGGCTTTGATAAATAGGTGATTAGCGTGTTTGCTCTGACCTGTCTGGTTTCAGGATCAATGAGGTCGAAGAATGCCCTGACAGTGGCAAGAACAAGCTCTTTACACCTGGAACACAAAGTAATACACAATGCATACGAATGACCTGAATAATATTTAAATAAATGTTCAGGATAATAGATAGTCTGAACAAACATAATGTCATAGCTTTTACCAAACAATGGAGAGGTGGTCGGTTGACACCCATGTCCGGGGAACTGCAGTTGCCTTGATAAAAATAAGAAGACAGAGTAGTGCAGGGTCATTCTCCTCTAAATTCAGAACTAAATTTGGACCTGCTCCTTTTGTTTGCTCAGTTCTTAATGTCCATGAAAGAGGCTCAGTCATCATACCAATCCAGAAACAGATCTTACCACCAGTGACAACTTATTGGGGTCTCCTGAAGGACACGGCAGGGATGTTAGACCAGACCGGACCTGGTAGTCACGGTAACCGCCCCCAACGGACAGGACTGTGATGTTTCTGAGTTTGTTCGCCTGGTTCACCCATTTCTTTCTCACTGCAGAGTAGAAATCTGAAAACAACAGGAACAAAGATGAGGAAAAACTGTCGCTTAAATCCACCACATAGTTTTTATATTACAATCACACGGACCACATTTAAATCTTCACTTTAGGTTCCCTACGGGGGGAACTGTTTACAGACCAACACATTTTACAGATGAGTGTCTCCTCCTAAGTAGGATGGAAACAACTGCTGTCTCTGCATGAAATGAGGACATAACTCAGTGCCAACAGTGTCAATGTACCAGTGACTCAGCATGAGAGTTGTTCTTACCCAGCAGGTATGGGTCCAGGGCCAGTACTGGAGCCAGGTGAGGAGAGGCCTGGGTAATGATCAGGCTGACCAGATTGGTGTTAAAACGGGGCAAAGTGAACAGAGCCCGAGCCACCACTCCTCCCATGGAATGGCCCACAAGCACCACACTCGGGGGAGGGGTCTTCAGATGCTGGCAAGTCCAGAAAGGTAGAAGACGGTTAAAAACCATGACCAAAGTAGATAACCGTGATCAATGCACATATCGTGTGAGCGCAAATGATTTGACCTCTTGATCCAAGGTCTCTTAGTTATCTCATGTTGCTTTTAAACCTAATTTCTAAGGGTTTACTTGTGTTAACAAGCATTTATCCCAACCCACCTCTGTTTGCAAATGTTACATGCTCAACCCATGTAATATACTGATGTCTGATTCCCTGTGCTTTAATAGACAATCTTTAAATGGGCTGTACATGAGTGTAATATACTGTACTTCATTTAAACTGTGCATCTTGATTGCACTCTCGTACTGGCGTCTCAGGAATTTGTCTACTTTTTTTCATGACAGCACAACGTGCAGTTTGAAAAGTTTAACTGAATGCCAACACATGTAAATTTAGAGGGTGATGGAAAATGATATGTATCCCTGGCAGTGAAATATAACACCTGCAGCAAAAAGTAACCCTCTCTGACATATAAATAATATTTAAGGTCTAACCTTGTACAGCCTTAGGATGGCCTTAATGCTCTCATGCAGAAAGTGTGTCTGCTGGAGCAAACTGCCACCGTAAAGCGCAACCAGCTCCTCATTGAAGTCCACGGTGAACACATTGAAGTGGAGACCTCCCTCCATGTTTTCAGCCTTCCTGAGGGCCACCGAGCCCAGGGAGCGAGCTACAACAAAAGAGAAGAAGACGTCTGTTGGTGTTGAATAGTAAAAATAATAATAGAAGGCTGTGTGGTTTTACTGATAGCATTAGGTATGAAAAGTTCAGTGAAATCAGATGTGGACTTTGGGATCAATGCTAATGCTAAACAGGTCACCACCATATTTTCAGCATTAATACTACTTTACAATCAATTATTTTTATATATATACAGTATATATAGATATATATATATATCAAAAAAATTAAAAAGGAAAACTTGATCGTCACAGTATAACACCAAGTCAGTTAAATTTCAAGGATATCAATGTGTCCATTTAGGAAGCACAAGTGTTTGTGAATCAATTTCAGCATCAACATCAACAGGTGCAATGGACAATGTTTTTGCATGTGGTGGCCATTTGCTCTCTCCTTATCCTTCCTGACTGATTCTTCTCTAGTTTAGTGTTCTGCTAGTCTTTAATGTCCTTAAACAACCTAAGCATGTCAATTTATTAAGAAAGAAAGTCACCAGTATTTGCCGATTTTAATGTAAATACCGAAACTGTCTTGGGACAATCTTCAATAAAGCTGCAACTGACTTTGTGCACTAACCTTGTTTGTAACTGCCAGCATTTCCAGGCAAGAAGAGCACAGGGGCGCCAGTGAGTTTAAGTGCTCGGGTCTCCTGGGCATATAGACCCTCTCCATAAAGGTAGAGCCCGTACGCTGGGTACAGTCTGGCAACACGCCGAGGCAAGGCCACTCGCTGTGAACAGATTGGAAGTTCCAAACTTACATTAAAACACATACAGTTCATTAACCTTAGCTCAAAGCCATGTTTAAAAATACTTCCATGAGTTAATTACTCCATAGAGCTCATTTAAGATTTACATGAGAAGTAATATGATGGTCAACAACCTCCTGTAAGGTCGTAGATTCTTCATCTGTACCAAGAAAGTCCAGACCTTTAATGGTACATGTACTGTATAATTGTAGGAGTACATCTGCATTTGTTCCATATGAGAAGACTTATGAGATTAGTTGTCACTTTGAAGTTGGAAAAATTTCATAATGGTCCATTCGCCTTAAACACTATCATTCCCCTATAATACAGACAAGAAATAAAACCTGTTCAAAGTATTCAAATGCCCAGATAAATGGTGAGGGTTGCATCAGGAAGGGCATCCGGTGTAATACTTGTGCCAAAACAAACATGCGGATCACAAATAGGAGGGGTGGTGGATATATTGGCAGATGATCCGCTGTGGCGACCCCAAAAAGGGAGCAGTCGAGAGATGAAGAAGAAGAAGTTCTGTCAAATGTGTTTTTCATCTCTGCAGTGTTGTCCCCACCTTGATTCAAATATCATACTTGCTATTTGTTTCTAGGTTATTGTTTTTTCTCCCTGTTAAAATTTTACTTTCTCACGTAACATACTTATTTTATGTTCTTTTGTTTTGTTGTAATTTCTATTATTATTGCTGTTAGGCACTACGCCCTTACTCCTGACACACCTTATATTTTCATTTCATTCCCATTTTTCTTTTATCTTTATTTTCACTTATATTCTTTATAGATTTAAACTATTGTTTTAATCTCTGTACTCTATTATATATTGTGTTATGATAATCTAGATCAAGCAGGCACAAGAATTTCCCTCGGGATTAATAAAGTCTGATGGGCTAGACAAATAAATTCTGATTGATCATGATTTGCTCTCTGCCCTGCTGCCATCACCAACACTGACTGTACAGACCGTGTCCATCAACCACACACACAAGGCCAGAGATCATTTTCTAGATACGTGGGGCTCTTTTTCTCCCCCTCATGATCTCCTGTGGGGAGTCAGACTGATACAGTGCCCTGCTTCCATCTGTGAAACAGAGGACATGGAATCACTGATCTAAACAAACACACGTCCGCATCTGCCGGGTGACCTGCTGAGAGGATTGAAAGATCGGGATCTGATCCATGGCTTTTAACCTGGCTAGTTTGGGCTAATCTACTCAGCGTGTAGCAAACAACAGGTGCAGGTGTAAACGGAAACCTGTCCGTCAGGTGACGTTAGCAGCTCTCAATCCAGGAAGTAGCTTTGAACGCATCTTTTACAGTGACAATGTATTTCGTCTGTTCAGAGTGGAGCTAAAAGAACAACGGAGCCACTCAGCCAGCTGTGTTCTCCACGAGCTCCCATTCGGCCTGTTCTCGCAGTGGTGTGAGGTACAAACCAGCGCCTGTGCACTCACCCTGTACTCTGGGTATTCAAACATGTAGGTCATACTGCATCTGTTCTCCTCGAAGCCAGTCAGCAGCTCTCGCAGGCCGACCGCCAGGAGCCCCAGCGCGACCCCGTATACGACCACAGAGGCGACTTTCATGGTTCGCTCCTTCCTCCGGCTTTCACATCTCATTCAGCCTTCATGCTCCCAGCACGTCTGACTGTCTGTCTGACTGTCTGTCTGTCTGACTGTCTGTCTGTCTGACTGTCTGTCTGTCTGACTGTCTGTCTGTCTGACTGTCTGTCTGTCTGACTGACTGACACGCTCACCGGCTCAACCCCACAACAGGAACTACTCGTTGAACAATCCGTGCTGATTGGCAGGTAGCCCGGCCAATGGGAGGAGAGAACCGAGCAAATTGAGCAATAGGAGAGCGATCAGTGAGTGACGCGTCACGTTCAAGGAAATGATAAATGTAAATTTAATTGCTTTAATTGATGTTCTTTATTCTTTCTTTTTTCCAAAGAGACACAAACTGCAAAACAGTTTTATTTAAAGGGATAGTTCACCCACATATTAAAATTCACTCACTATCTACTCACCACTGTTTCTGAGGGGTGGGTGAAAGTGTTTGAGTCCGCAAAACACTTTGGGAGTTTCAGGGTGTAGGAATGTAGAAAAACAACACGATACACATAAAATGCCACCATACTGCTCCTGTGGTGTCGTCCGAGTGTCCGTAAACCCCAACATTCAAATTCGACATGTTGCAATAATCATGTTGGTTGTATTGTTTTCACATTTAGAACATTTACAGTGAGTAAATTATCAGAGAATTGATAATGAAAGTACAAGGTAAAATATGAACTATTGTTTTTTTTAGACCTACACATAACACTGTGCTAATCTATTTCAACTTTGATGTCATAATGTTCTAATTTCATTCAGTTGTGTGTGGTGAATTCACTAGACTTTGATTTCACAATGTCTTAAACTTATTCAACTTAGATGTCAAAATGTGCTAAATCTATTCAACTGTGCCTTCCCCAAGGGTGTCAGCATTGTTTCACCTTAATTACTTTCCATTGTTAAAACAGGAGAAGATGAGGTCTGGCACTGAATGAATCTACCTCTCACCCTCATAGGACAAATTGCAACTGTGAAAATTAAAATACTCCCACACATTAATTATATTTTCTCAATGCCATCACACCAACAAAGTCGCACATTGTTCAAATCTATTGACTCTCTCATTACACATTTCTATTGGAAAAATAAAAAAGACAAAATCAAACTATCCATTCTACAAAAAAGCTAATCTCTTGGCAGACTTGTCATCCCAAACTCCTACTTCTACTATTTTGCGCATCAGTTACAATACCTCACTAAATGGATCCATCAAACCAGCCACAATATCACTTGGAAAGACCTGGAACCATATTTTTGTAAAAAATGTCACTCTCAGATTTACCTTTCCTCAGCACAACTGTCAACATCCCTTCTTTAAAATAACTACCATCTCAACAACTCTGACAGCATGGTGGAAAGTCATTAACATATTTAACTCCACCCCGGCACCATGTAAATACATTCCATTTGACAAAGCCTTCAAACTCTGCACCATTCCTATTTACTAACCGCTCTAACCCAAACAGCCATGACACATCTCCACCATCTTTTCCACAACAATCAATTCATAGAATTCAAAGACCTTACACAGAAACACAGACTTGGCAGACACCAATTTCTGGAATACCTACAACAGAAATCTATAATTAAAAATACAAATAAATACAACTTGAACTTTCCAGAATAATAAATGACATTTAAATAAATGACATAATTACAATTTACATATTTATATAATATACATATCTATGAAGGGGTTAAGCTAGTGCTGCACACATTCCCACACACTTCATATTACAAAGTACGAATCAACCCGCACACACCCACTAAACATCCCACCACACATACGTCTCTCTATAATTGTGAGGACACTTGGCAGAATACATCCTCGTACCCCTTACCCTAACCCTAACCACCATTACGAAATGCCACACCCTAGCCTTAACCGCGTTCTAACTCCCAACTAAAACCTGAAAAAGGCTGAACATCCAAACAGTCCTTTTCAATTCATGAGGACCAGCCAAAATGTCCTCAAAATTATGATATTCTACCAAAATTGGCCCTCACAACTACACAGGCAAGTGCACAGACATTTTTGGGGGCAGGTGCTCAAGCCCAAAAAAAGGGCACCCATCGCCAAAATTATTCATAAAATTAACAAAAAACACAGTAGTATATATTTAACTTATGTATTTATTTTTGTTAACACAATCAACCTAGTCTAATCCAATAGGGTAACTCAAATGATCAAATTGAATAAATAAATGAATAACAGGCAAAAAAATTATATTCTAAGAATTTTGCAATATGTAGTGTTGAAGTTACATGATGCAGCTGAACACCCCTCACCTCACCCTCCCCTTCCAAACATGAAAAAGAACCTGTGGTAGCTTCAGTTGTCATAAAAACTCAAAAGGTGTTTAGTTAGTTAGTAGTAAAAAACATGGAAGTCTCCGTAGAGAGGGTCCCCTCGATGTCAATATAAATTATTTAAATATAAAGGGACTTCTAGGGTAAAGCAAACTACAATTCATACAATTTAGATGAAACAGACTCGTGAAAATGTGAGGATTATTAGGGCCCGAGCGCTGTGAAACAGCGAAGGCCCTTTTGTTCTTCAAGGAATTTTAGTAGTATTATCGTTTGCAATGTTGTACAGTTGTTCAATGACAATAAACACACAAAAACCAGGAAAGTATTTGTAAAAATAGTGAAAAACATTTATTGTAATCACATCATAAATCCCTCCATTAACCCTGACAGTCCTCAAGCAGGTGAAGAAGGTAAGGTCAGCTCAGGGGCTGTTAGATGGGCGCTGCTGATTTCTTCCAACACTGTGGTTTTCTCAACCCCAGAGCGTGGCGGATTCTCTTCCAGAGTGAAGTCTTCTTTGGTTTCTCAGGGAGAACACTGGAGAGAGACTTCCCCTCAGTGACGTCATCCTTACTCTCTCCATTGAGCTGACGATTGGAAAGATCAGCTTCATGACAGTGGCAGACCTCATGACAAGAAGCTCTGAGCTTCATCAGCTCTTCTTGGAGAACGTTCTTTTCCTGGAGCTCAGTGTTGAGCTTCTCCTGGCTGATAGTCTGATTTTGGCAGACCTCATGATAAGAAGCTCTGAGCTTCATCATTTCTTCTTGGAGAACGTTCTTCTCCTGCTTCTCCACCTGGAGCTCAGTGTTGAACTTCTCCTGGTTGATAGTCTGATTTTGACAGACGTCATGATAAGAAGCTCTGAGTTTTATCAGCTCTTCTTGGAGAACGTTCTTTTCCTGGAGCTCAGTGTTCATCTTCTCCTGGTTGGTAGTCTGATTTTGACAGACCTCATGATAACAGGCTCTGAGCTTCATCAGCTCTTCTTGAAGAGCGTTATTCTCATCCTGAGGCAGCTCGCTGGTTTGAGTCTCCTTGTCCATGGAGTAAATCTTTTGGCTGTGAGCTTGCCTTTCCTCCACCTCTGTCACCACAAGCTCAACCCTGCTGAAATCCCTTATTAAAGGGGCCACCTTCTCCTTCAGAGCCACATTGTCCTCTTCCAGAGCCTCCACTTTGTCTCCCTGTGCAGCCAGTTTGCCATTGTGGGCTTTAGAGCGAGCTGCCACTATCTCCTTCACCCTTATCAGAAACCTAGTCTCCTGTTTGAGCTCCTCATCCAGAGCCTTTATTTCAGCCAGTATGCCAGTCATGGCTTCAGAGTGAGCTGCCATTTTCTCCTTCTCCCTCAGAATCTCATCCTCCTGTTCGAGCGTCTTTCTCAGAGCCTCAATCTTAGACTTCACTGTTTCACAAGTCTGAAAAATAGAAACATGGAATTCATTATTAAAAGTCCACTCAACACAACCTGAACATACATTTCTAAAAAAAAATGTTTTACCGGAATGTCCATTTTGGTAAAGGGGGATTTGTGGTTAAGAGAGCAGTGTCTTCTTGATGAATTTTTACTGAACAAATCAATTGTTGTCTCCGTAGGCAGGATTGTTATCTTCACGAACGAGGACTGTGGTCTTCTCAGTTGACGGTCGATTATTTATAAGGTTGGTAGTTCAAAGGACCAAAGAAATGACCTCTACAGTCTATAGAGTTTTTGGTCCTTTGATTGACATTTAAAGATTTGCAGGCCAGCAATCACTTTGATGGTTGCCCCCACAAAAATCATTAAAGAAGGTTTTTAAGAAGCAACAGTTTCCATGGCGATATTTAATAACTACACAACATGGCTGCCCCTGGGGGTTTATCAGGTTGACTTCTATATGATGCACATCGTTGCAGAGCATACACAAATCTTTAGCTAGGCAGCTACTATAGACATGTTCCACAATCCCTCCCCTTGATGCTTGTAGTATTTTTATTTTTTATATTTAATTCT